AATGGCGGTCGCCTGCACCAAACCAACGATGGACTCAACTAGACCATATTGCCATCAGTCATCGTTGTTGAGGTTCGAAAGAAGACTACTGCTCGTTCTGGAATACATGCTTGGACTCCGATCATGTTCTAATACAAGCACTATTTGCTGGTGCTTCACTGGACACGGTAAAGCCACATTAAGAAGACTCATTCTAGTTAAACTCAGTGACGAGAAAGTCAAAAGTAGATTCCAGGAACAACTTTGGCAATTCCGAAAACGAGGCCGACCCGGATGTTGCTTAGCAAGATATACAAACAGCAGTGACATCTACTAGTGATTTGAAACAAAGGACCACGAATAACCAGTGCATTTGTGCTACATCTCTTGCACTGCTAGACTCTCGTAAACTTATCCCATCAGGCTCCGAACACGATGATGAGCGAAAACAAATCAAATCTAGGTTAGCCCAAAGTCTATGGAACGATCGTGAGCAGTGGTGGGCAACGAAAGCAAAACAGATGGAAATGGCAGCGACTGTAGGTAACACCAGGCAGCTTTCCAGACTAATAAAAGAAACCGAAATTGAGAAGTCAAGTGTAAGACAATCTTTGAAAAAGCCAACATTCTCATCTGCTCGCAGTACAGAGGTTTAGAACGATGGAGGAAACGCTCTAAGGAGAAGTTGGGCTCGCCTCCAACTATTTCACAGCTACCTATCATTTTTAAACATCCTGAACGGAACATTGAAATAGGCCCTTGACTCTAATTGAAGTTCAAAAAGCTGTAGCTAATCTGAAACGAGGAAGAGCAGATGGATTGGCTCAAGAGGTCTTTAAGTAAGGTGGTCCAATTTTAGCGATTAGGTTGATTAATATTTTAAATAAAATCTGGGAGTTGGATGTAATCCCATCTGACTTGTCGCAATCACTGATTGTCACTATATATATAAGAAGGAGTCAAAATCATCCTGTGATAACCATGGAGGGACTAATTCAACTAATATAGCATGTAAAATACCAGCCTCAATTGTTGTCGGACGCCCAACTAAGACTTGTGAACTGCAAACACGAGGAAATCAGGCTGACTTCAAACCCGGTCGTGGCTGCATCGACCACATATTCACCATTCGCCAGATCTTAGAACACAGACATGCTTATCGGCGTACGACAATGGAAGTTTATCTTGACTTAAAAGCAGCATTTGACTCTGTAGACCGAGAGGTTCTGTGTCAGTGTCTGTCATTGAAAAGTGTTCCTCAGAAGTACATAAACCTTGTGAAGGCTCTTTACTCGAACACTACCAGTTGGGTCAGTGCTTATGGAAAGTTTTCATCTGATTTTTCAACCTCAAGTGCTGTCCGTCAAGGCAGTCCACTATCTCCATTTTTGTTGAATTTCATCATAGACCTACTGCTGGAAATAATGTTCTCGTTGACTGAATTTTCGGGGATTGACCTCCTACGAGGAGGGCTACTTATTGACTTAGAATACACAAATGACATAGTGCTGTTTGGTGAAGACGTGGATAAAATGCAGAGTATTTTGGTAGCACTGAGCAACAATGTCAGGATGTTTGGGATGTGTTTCTCCCCCTCTAAATGCAAGTTGTTGCTTCAGCGCTGACTTGGGTCAACACCTGAACTGTGGATAGGGAGTGAAGTAGCCGAACACGTCGACAACTTCACTTGTCTCGGAAATCCGATCAGCCCTAATGGGTTGGTGTCAGACGAAATGTGATCACAGATTCGAAATGGTCGTTTAGCTTATGTCGTCTCAGAGAATTCCACGTCGTGCATTATTTGCCGACGCTAGGACTGGTTGGAAAAAGCGGAGAGATGGCCAGTGTATGACATCGTGTCGGGATATGAAAGAAAGCTGCAAAGGACTGGCTTCTGTTGGTCCTTCTCGACTGCCTCGCTGGGGTCCGAGAGATGGTGTAACACAGTGGCTAGAGACGTTATGAGATATGGACCATAATAGAAGCCAGTGGCGATCCTGCTGTAATCTACTCTTGCTTTCTTCATAAAAAGTGGATGTAACTTCCTTAACTGAAAGGATTCTTCTGGTTATACCTTTCCGTTTACCCATTATTATTCTTATTACACTACCTTATACTAATCTGGTCGTTATTGTTCTTTTTTTCTTTTACGCTCCCTACCTTTTTTTCTTTCCATTCTCATTGTTATGTGTGGCGCATACATATTTGGTGCCCTCTTGTGTTCAAATAAATAAATAAATAAGTTTGGCTTATGCCAACTTACGTCACCTGTGACGAAGGCAAGATATCCGTCTATCAATAAAAGGACGAGTATGCAGCGCAGCAGTTGGTTCTGTTTTATTTTGTGGCTGCCAGACGTGGCCATTAGGGATAGAGGATACTCGTGAGTTACTAGTATTTGATTCCAGATGTCTTAGAAAGATTTCCAGCACTGCTGGGATCACCGGGTAATAGTGAGTAATAATGATGTTAGACTCAGGGTATCAGGGGATGATGGTAAATCAGTTGATGAGTTTGTGAATCTTCATCGACTGGGGTGGTTGCGCTACGTATTACGCATGCCTAACCACCGACTGTCACGGTGCACAACGGTGACAAGTGTTGGAGAAGGTTGGAAGAAAGTTAGGGGTGACCAAACCAAAACGTAGCATCAGTTCTTGGGGTCACTAACTTCTGGTCTGAGCAATGTTGGTATATGCAGACTACTTGGTCGGGGTCCGTGTGACTATCGTAACCAATGGTTGGAGACTGTGGGTGACGTGGCTTAGAATCGATCACAGTTGGGTGGGTGTATACACTCTCTGCCTTCCCTTAATATATTACTATCACTGAAATAACTACTTCTATGAATTTGGTGATTATCTTGTTGTGCTAATAAGACGTGGCAACTTTGACCGATGCATATATGTGCCTGGTCCTACGTTGTAGCTGACTGACTGAGTTACCCCAGACATTTACAGGTACGGGCTTCTAATTCGTTTTGTATATTTTATGGAAATCGTAACAGGACTAATATCATTAGTACGAATGAATTTCACATATTTCTGACGAGACAATCATGTGGGAGCCAAATGTGTGACTGTAGTAATATCAATTACTTTATATTTATTTATACTGCCTGTACGTTTTCACACATGACCTTGTTAACCACTTTCCACTAATGCTAAAATGATTATTTATACTAACATTTTGTGGAAGTACATTTCCTATACATGCATGTGTCTGCATGTATATTTATTGCACTACGCATATGACTCTATAAATGTAGACAAAATAATTTAATTATTTAGTGTGTGACCAACCCCAACTATTTATCTATTCAGACTCGTATGTCTGCTACTCATATGCATACTAGGGATATACGTACTCTTCATAGATTTCGTATACTAACTTTTGGAAACGGCGTTATAGTGAATGAAATCCAGTCCAGTAATATACACGAAATTAATCTTGGGATATATGTAAATAACGAACGCTGAATAATCGAACTAATAGTCAGATAAGACTGTTAAAACTCATTCCACTAGCTATTACATTGCTACTAGTCACACTACGGTAGTAGTCATATTACTATAAAAATAACCTTAGTATAAGAAAAATCGTAGTAGCACCCGTCCCTATTAACACACTTCGACTGCATGTGGCAGACAATACTAAACACTACGTTAACAGGTGACACGTAAATATGAAAAAGTAATTATCATGTAGAAACACCTAAATCATTTGACCGCTAACGTATCCAAATTATTCAGTTAATATTAACAACATAATGACATGAAAAAAATCATACCGAATTCCCGATAAATCCTCCGACAGTTTTTTAAATATTTCATGCAATTGGTTCCCTTTATGAATTTAAATAAAGCAAGAACAAATATTGGTGCAGAATAGTATGAATTCATATTATTTCGAGGTTTCTCGTCAGCTGCTTACAAACCAAAAAATGTGATAGAATTTTTACATTGAGATAGAGTGAAAACAAATGACATAGATGAGTGTAAATAACTGGGTTTTTTAAATACTAAATAACGGGAAACCCGAAGATAGAACTTTTGAACACCACATATGTCACATACTTATAACAAGGTATTTTAACCATCAACTTATGAATGGTTAAGGATGCAAACAATCACACGACTTCGCTAATGTTTTACGCAAAAAGAAAATTTTTTTGTCGTTTATCAAGGTCATGAGAAATCTACAGCGATAAAATTTATTTATTTATTTAAACACATAAACATTGGTACAATGATGCACCAAATAAATCATTCGATCTGTGTAATGGTTGGGATACTGCCCGGATGCCCAAACCGAAACAGGTTTTCTTAAGAGGCTACACACCCGCAGCCTTTGACTCAAAGGTCTGAAACACTAAGTAGTGGAACAATGTCAGGAGATGTAGTTTCATGGTAGCCGGTGATCAACATAAGGCTCATACGCCACTTGTTTTTTAGGACACTGGAGCCCATGTGCACCAATGGTTTGGAATTAGGGTTTTCCAACTCCCCTAGGTAGACCCTCTGTGTCCACCAATCCGGTTAAAGCGCCGGATATTCGCCTTTCGTCCTCTCAATTTCGTAAACAACACCCTCGCCATGAGAAGGCAGTGAGTAGAACTTCTCTGGCAGTGGTTGTATGCACATGGCCATGTGAGAGCATCTCGAGACGGAGAGCTGACTCTCCCCACTATCGGCCGTATCAGGGCATTTCGGGGCGATGAAATGGAAACACTTCATTCCCTAGAATGGAACTAAGATAATAAAAATATAGCGATGAAGCATATGAACCTAATGAAAAGTTATGTAGAAAGGAAAGAAAGCAGCAGAGATGAATGAGGGGTAGATCTATGCTATAGCTGTAATTTTAGGCATAGAATGTGAAAATAATCAGTCCTTTGAACGTTGACAATTTCTACAACACTAACAAGCAATCAAAATGAAGAAATCACTTTTTATCAAAATAGTCTCTATTTGTGAAGATGCAATGAAATACTCAAAAAAATGTACAATTCATTAATGAAACTAATCGTTGTCTAGTGCATGGAGTTGTTTGACCCAAGACAAAAGTAACTGACTGAGCGACGTATTTTCATCATGATAAACGCTGTTTAGTCCGGAAGAATTTGTTTCTGAGAGTTCTTGACTGACTGTGCTCTGCAGAATAGGGACCTCAAGACACAAGATAGAATTAAGGTCGTTCCGACACTTTATTTTTAATTGCCTATAAAAATGAGTATTTTTATACATATCTCCAACCATCTGACTTAGAAGTGATGAAATTTCCGTCATACATAATCTGCGTAAAATAGACTTAGTAGCTGATTTGCTTGAATTATTCTCGGATGTCTCATTAAAATTTAAGAGCGAACGTACATTAGGAATGAACTGCGAATCAGCATCACATTTTACTGGAGCCTCTGAAGATGAAGTCTTACACGACGGTATATCATAAGTCATGCTGTGGGGGTTATGATTACGGTCACAATAATTTTCTTCTTTAAAATAATTTCCTTGATGATTAAGAGTAGAATGGTTGGCATTTTGATGTCCGTCGACATATAGGTTTCCTTTTTCTAACATTTTCAAATGCTTTTTACCAGTCTCATGCCGAATTAAATCAAAAGGACTCATGTAGGTTTGACAAACATCGCAAAAAGCCTTATTAGTAGGTTTTTTATTGAGTGGCGCCTTAACATTACACACTTTATCAGATGAGGATGGTTTTAACAAAACATTGGAAGGCTGATTTGTAGATGGTTTGCCAGAGTGATTGCTTATTTTAGACAGACTTTCAACAGATTTTTGGATGTTATTTTTGTCATTACTGAAATTAGCAGTTGAAGTTCTACACGGATTGTGACAGTCTTCCTCGTAGACATGTTTCCAATAGGCATCCTGGTCACAAAAAATAATTTTGCAAACAAAACACTCAACAACATCTGACATGTTGAGTCAACCTAAAAGAGGATAGTGAAAAAAATAATGAGGGAGATCAAGATATGTGACTGATAATATGAATTCAGAATAGGAGCAAGCTCTCATTACAGCTTAGCTACATAGGTTAAAATGCTTGTAACCCATTCAACGAGTGAACACCAAGTTGATTTTAAGCCACATTGTTTTCGATGGTTAGTAAAACCACCCGGTTACTTGAATTGAGTAGTTAGAATGGCGTTGGGACGAGTAACCTACTAGCTGAAAGTTAAGTGCTATGACCAAATCATTTCCATGAATGTGTTCAATTCAACACCGAGAACTATGGCAATAACAGAAATTTTGAGCTACATTTGATGATGAGTCATATAATTTCCAGGACTCTACTCAAGGAACTGTTGGACAGTAAACTAACACTACGATCATTCACTTCAAGGTACTGCGTTGTAAACTATCTTTACGGGTAAGCTCTACTAAATACTATGCTGTTTGGACGCCACTGCAATAGCATAGTTCTTATACATAAGCAGTAAAAACCTGTGGGTGCAGTGAATTTATTAAGTACATATCTGAATACCAGCAATTCAATGTTGGGATTACTTGCATGGTGCCTATCGTGTGTAGGACGATGATATTATAGCTATATAATATTTTAAAAAAGAAATCTCATAATAGTATAGCAGAAGCAATGTTTATCAAACGTCACTGCGGAGAACGTGTGAAAGCTGAAGCCAGAAGAGGGTTGAGGGTGAAAACAGAACGAGCACCAGGAAGTGAGATTTGATCCTGGAAATGATTAGCTCGAGTGTTCCTGGGCGTGGAACAAAACTCAGAAATAACAAATAAATACTTTTTGATCAATTAATTCTCACTGGGACTAACTATTTAAGCACAACAACACACAGAGTCTTAGTGAAGACCCATTATGGTTTGATACATTAATTAGTCAACTTAACTTTCAAAATTACATGGCTTTGAAACATATAACTGGCATACTTTAAACGGACAAACAACTTCGTTACAGTATTGGGCAGCCACCTGAGGTGCGGGTTCAAAATCTTACTTAAAAATGTCTTTGAGCTGATATCAATCAGTGTAAAAGTTATACACAGCGTCCATGAGCATCATTCAATATGTTTGCGAGCCGGAATACTGCCCGGGTGCCCAAACGAAGATGTTTTTGGGTCACTCTTCGAGCCTTTACATGAAGGTTTAATCCACAAAGCAGTGGAGCAATGTAAGGAGATGCAGTTTCATGATAGCCGGTGACCATCAAAAGGTCCCTTCAGGATACTGAAGTCCATGTGCACTATTGGTTTGGAATTAGGGTTTTTCAACTCCCCTATGTGGACTTTCCGTGTCCATCAACCCTGTTAAAGCGCCGGACATTTACTTCTCGTCTTCTCAACTTCGTAAACAACACTACCGTCACGAGTAGGACTTCTGTGGGTGTGGCTGTATACATGTGGCCATGTGCGAGTATTTTGCGAGCAAGAGCTGACTCTCCCTTCCCTCTGCCGAACCAGAGCGTTTGGGGGAAACAATAATTTAGAACTATTAATTACTTCTTTAATCTAGGAATAAATTTAAACAAGTTGGTTTGATCATTGTTCGAAAGAAGGACAAAATATTTTTGTTATTCTTAATAATAAACAATTCAACTTGAATGCTTTTACGAGTTTAAAATTCGTAATGAAGATCGGACTCTATTGTCCTACTTAAACTATAGTCAGTTGGCTAATAGATCAGATATTACAGTAATTGTGGTTCTAATATTTGAAGGAAATTGATAGAAGCACCAATTAAAAGACATACGCAACTTGAAAAGCATTTAAAATTTCTAAGGGACTGATGGTCCTGTTACACCTATCGTTATTATCGAAAATAATACTTGGAAGACAGATATTCTTATGTACTCTATCTTTAGACTTTATTATAAAAGATGAACACCATCTTATAAGTAATTCTTAACGTTAACCGACTATAATGGAAAAGATGCAAATCACAAATCATGCAATACATTGTTTATTACTTTTTAAATAAATGAATAGGAAAGGGAACATATTCTTACATTCCACACTTCATAGAGATTTTCCTACTAGTGTTAATTAACGAATATAGTTATACTTTAATCAAGTTCATTTCTTAAACTCCGTGGTGAATAATATTAAGTCGGGTTGACAGTAAACACTTAAACACACATAAACATATTGGTGACCATATATATGGGAAATATTGATCTTTATGTTTAAGTAATCTGAACAACTTGACAAAATTTCATGTTATTTCCAAAGAGAGTATGAAGATGTCGACAGCAATAATTTAAATTGGACGTCCGAATACACGGGAGTTTAGTAACCAAAGATGAACTCATAAATACAACTTGGCGAGACTCTAACTTAGGGACGAGCCAATCAGAAGCGTTTGAGCAATTTCAAGTATTAACCAATCAGAAGACAGTATAAAGTAAAAATATATTACAAGAAAGTAATGAACTACAGTGGATATTCTTCTTTTACATGATTAAAAAACTTAAGGTTTGATAAAGGCTCAGAAGTTCTGAATTCATAATGCGTACGGTATAGAGAGGCTACAACCCTAACATTGACCCCAACCGTAACCCTAAACCCTAACCCTAGGCTACAACCCTAACCCTAACCTCTAAAATCCGTTGTAAACCGATCTCATGTTAGCACCCTAACCCTAACCTTAGCCATAAACCCGAACACTAAACTCCAACCTAACCCTATGGACGAATTTCTATACCATATGCATTATGAATTCAGAACCTCTGAACCTTTATCAAACCTAAAAAAGTTTTAAAATATCCACTGTAATTCATTACTTATATTTCCACTTTATACTAACTGTCTTTTAATTGGCTAATAATTTTCAAGGTCATTTAAAATTCGTTCAAAGGTCATCACTAAAGTCTCGCATACAACCTTATATAAGTAACGCTTGGTGGGGATTAAAGACTTTACTGATCAGAAAAATTTTGTGTAGGTAAAATTGGTAAATGTAATAACAAAGTTACTATACCAAATAATTGGTCAGGAATGTTTTTTTCTGGACAATAAAAACTCTAAATTTTACTAAGTGTTTCTCAAAAACATTTGGAATTATTCGTAAAACATCGCTAAAATTTTCAATTACCTCTGTATAAATTTGGAAGTATGTGGTATGCAACTGTTAATATATTCACCTATGAGTTTGCGTCCAGTTGACAGTATTTTTTTCTCAAAAGACATAAACAGGAAAGTCTGGTAGGAATATTCCGTCTCTTAGTGAGAAAATCGGGAAGAGAATAAACCCCAAACAACCAATAAAGCGGAAATAGAGGTGAACAAAGGGGACGGAAGCGTAAATAGAGGGGAAATGTCGATTTTTCCCCCTTACTTCGTGTATTCGGGGGAAATTGGTCGACAACTATACGTAACGTACCGTGTTTGAATATGCCGCATCCCGTACTTATATTTTCACAAAAGTCCATAAAATAACGCACTGTTTAATAAACACACAAAACTATTGTCATTAACACAAGTTACAAAATACGGACACAAGGATTTGGCTGAGACACATATAAACTTTGTTTTTTGTTTAGCTAAAGTGCTCCGATATGCTTAGTAGCCATCACAAATAACTAACGTGATGCAAGTGAGTGACGTGCTCTCCGTTTTTCATGTTCATTATAACTAATTACCTTGTTAGTCCAATACGATACATGAGAAACTTTATTCAGGTGTTGAGAAAGTTTGTTTGATTTTCAGTGAACTTGCAATTAAATATACATGCTTAAAATAACCCATAGTGTCATTGATTAGTACGTAACCTCATTTGTTATTTATCCTCGGATCCATTTTGGCGATGCAATTTTTTCTATCCTCATATAAACATACATTTCCCATATAACTATATATACGAATGTACAGTTTAAGTAAATGATTTTGTCGAAAAGAAAATTTTCTTCGCTGAGTTCTCTTTTTCTTATTCAAATACACGTGCCTTATTAATAATACATCACCTGTTTCTTCGTTTGCAGATCTTTTCAAATAACAATGAATTGATAATTACAATGAAAATGCATGACGATTGTTGCTCAAGCTCCTGCTATATTGTTGTATAATAATACGCTTTTTCTTTTCAATAAATTTATTTAAACATATACCATTTTTCACGTGGATTGCAGTTTTAGTGTGGTGTGTTGTGGGAATAAAGGCGAACATAGGAGACCTTTGGAGTTATGCTAATGGTGTTTTAAAAGTTGGAGGAAAAGTAGACAATTTAGCGTGTATTTCGACGAAAAGTAGACAATTCAGCGACATTTGAGAGACAGAGCGGCAAAAAGGGGGAAATCCGCATTATTTCCCCCGAACAGGCGAAAAAGCAGACATATTGGTGTGTTTCCCCTTTGTTGGTTGACTGGGACAGAGAAACAAGAGACTAGCAACTCTAAAAACAATGCTTATTGCTTTTCTAGAGCTACTGCCAGTCCGAAGAACGGGGAAGAGAGGAGGGTTGTGCATGGGGTCAGCAACCTCATCCCGTAGAAAACAAACTTGCCAAAAAACGCCAACCATATTAAACAATTTAAACTATTAAACCACTTAAATTCCGCCCTCCGAGTTCAAGGGTCATCATTCATGAAAATTGTGACGGCTCATGATAAAAGTTGAGGTCCTTCGGAAGACACAGGGCTGGTGCTCCTTCTAACAAACATCGAAACAATTCTTATAAGTAAATGGAATGTCAGGATAATGTGGGACGCCGTGAGGACCAGTCAAATAGCAACGAAAATGAGGAGATACAATTTTGACGATGCTCGGAATCAGCAAAAATATGTGGAATACCTAGTAACAATAGCGGAAAAAGCTGTAAGTGAAGGAAATATGAGACAGCTATATGATACAATGAGGAAACTAGCAGGGAAATATAGTAAACCAGAGAGACCGGTTATGGACAATGAAAGTAAGTCAATCACTTAGATTCAGGGACAGAGGAACAGACAGGTGAAATATTTCGAGGAACCCTTGAATAGGCCAGTCTCATTGAACCCACCGGACATCGAAGCACCACCTACAGACCGTCCTATAGCCGTCACACCACCAACGACCGAATAAATCAGGATGGCCATAGGACAAATCAAGAGTGAGAAAGCAGTAGGACCAGACAATATACCAACCGAATCACTTAAGTTATACAGAAGTAACTGCAAAGAAGCTCCGCATTATATTCAAGAAGATTTAGGAGAAAGAACAAGTGACGACGGACTGGAAAGAAGAATATCTCATCAAGATTCCTAAGAAAGATCTGGGCAAATGTGAAAAATATAGAGGCATCACACTACTATCTGTGCCAGTAAAAGGTTTCAACAGTGTTGCTGAACCGGGTGAAAGATGCAGTAGACGCCCAACTTCGAGATCAACAGGCTGGATTCTGTAAGGATCGGTTGTGCACAGACCAAATCGTGACACTATGGATCATCGTCGAACAACCATTTGAGTGGAACTCGTCACCATACATCAACTTCATTGACTATGAGAAGGCGTTTGACAGTGTAGATAGGAGAACATTATGGAAACTTCTTCGACACTACGGAGGTCCTGAGAGGATTGTCAACATCACACGGAATTCGTACGACGGACTACAGTGCAAAGTCGTGCATGGAGGACAGTTGGCAGACGCATTCTAAGTAAGGACTGGAGTGAGACAAGGCTGTCTACTCTCCCCCTTCCTCTTTCTTCTGGTGGTTGACTGGATTATGAAGACCTCGACATCTAAGGAATAGCACGGAATACAATCGACAGCTCAGAACCAATTAGACAATTTGGACTTTGCATATGACCTAGGATTCCTATCTCGTACATACGAACAAATGCAGATAAAGAAAACTAGTGTAGCAACAGCCTCTGGATCAGTAGGCCTCAACATACACAAAGCAAAAAGCAAGATCCTCAAATGTAACACAGAGAACACCAATCCAACCACACTTGATGGAAAAACTGTGTAAGAGGTTTGAAATTTCACGTGACTGACTGGTCAGCATCATCGATGAACAAGGAATTGGCAAAGTAAGAACAACATTCCTACGTTTGAAAAACATGTGGAACTACGAAACAACTGTATGGAAGTCAATATCAAAGTCAGAATCTTCATTAGGAGCTTCAGGACAGTTCTACTTTACGGAGCTAAAACTTGGAGAACTACCACAGCCATCATCAAGAAGGTGCGAGTATTTATAAATAGTTTTCTACTCAAGATACTCAACATCCGTTGGCCGGATACCATCAGCAACAGTCTACTGTGGGAGAGAGCAAACCAGCTTCCAGCTGAAGAGGAAATTGGGAAAAGACGATGGAAATGGATAGGACATACATTACGGAAATCACGAAACAGCATCGCGAGGCAAGTCCTAAATCGGAATCCCGAAGGGAAGCGGAAAAGAGGAAGGCAGAAGGACACACTATGCCGGGAATCGGAAGCAGATATGAAGAGGATGAATATCAACTGGAAATGGTTGCCCAGGACGGGGTTGGATGGAGAGTGCTGGTGGGCGACCTTTGCTCCTCCACGAGGAGTAACAGGCGTAAGTATATATGTAACGATAATGATAGAACATACTTCTTTTGTACACATTGTTCTAGCTTGAGCTCATGGATGGTAAGAGCTTCGGCTATTTTTAAAAGTTGGATACGAAGAAATCTAGGTAGATTTGGACGAATCGTATATACGACGTTAAAATCAAACTGTGGATCAATAGAATGACTGTAATGAAAACATTTCAATCATCTTATCAAATTTACATTATAATTCGTTACTAACTTATTAAGTCTATTGTTATTATTCGTATTGCGTAATCTAGTATTATAATCTCTCCATTACATCATCTTAGCTACTCCTTGTTTACATTTCCTCACGGAACTAGTACTTGAACAAGAAATTTTCATATATATATGTATACGATTGTACAGCTTGATAATAAATTCATTGAAAAAGGAGATCCCTTCTCTGAACTTCGTGTTTTTAGTGCTTAAATAGAAAAAATCCGAAATAATTATTTTTTCAGGCATGTTTCATTTTAAATGACAAATCAGTATAGTTAACAATGAAGAAATAAAATAAATTAACTGATTGATCCATGACAGCAATAAGAAATTAAATTTCCCTTTCAAATTGGTTCTCATAATTATTGACTTTTTTTTTAAAAAAAACATACTTTAACGAGTTAGTTTTCTACGGGATGGAGTCACTAACCCCATACCCAACCCTCCTCGTTTATCCGAGCTTGGGACCGGTAGTAGCCCCCGGAAGGACTCCAGGTGGAGTTAAAAGAAACATGAATTACATTAATTTATCTTTTAACTGATAAAGATGAAAGATCTTCTTAGTATAAGCAGAAATTCATTCATTCATTTGTTTGTTTTATTTTTTTCTTTCCTAATTAACATTATTTATGTAAAAAGAAACACAAAATGTAGTACTATTCTTTCAAAAGTTGATATTTTTACTCACTTATTGTATGATAAATTATCATAAACTGTATAAAGCTTGTTCATTTCTGATCATTATTGCCGTTTTTATATGAAGTTCAATATACTATGAATATTTATAAATATTTCTTAGTTATTGTTAAAGTATTCTATTTCGTAATTATAATTAAAAAAAACATAATTTTAACAGTTAATTTGGTAAGATTTTACTTAGATTTATGTGTACCTAGATGACATGACTCAGAATCGATCAAAATGGTATAGATGCATACACTCTTTGTCATCCCTTAAACTATGAGATTGAAATTGCTTCACATCTTTCTTTCTATAAACTAATTCTTTTTTCCTGTACTATTTCCTTATATGTAATCTTTCTTTTATATATTACTTCTATGAATTCGGTGTTTATCTTGTTGTGTTAATGAGGTATGGCAACTTGAACCGATGCATATATATATATATATATATATGTCTGGTTCTACGTTTTAACTGACTGACTGACCTGCCTATTATCCAATAATTGGTTGATAATCAAAACTTACATGGTACGCCTTACTGAAATATATTTTATATTTGAAAATTCTTGAAGTAAACTATTCGTACTTTAAAAGTTAAACAAAATATGTAAGTTCTGGAACAATTTTTTTTAAAAAAAAGAAATACATTCGATTTCAGTTATTTCATTAAATCAATAAACCAATCACAATTTATTTGTATGATTTAATTAATATAATTTGTTTTTCTTGATAGTTCTACAAGTA